TAGTAGACGTTTCACGTTCGTTTCTAGATCAGTGATAGTTAAACTAATGTACAAGCCACAACCAAAAATTGTGTCACTAGATAAATTTGGGGGTCACAAGACTCTTAGGTCTTTTTAAAATGTGATTTTTATATCATGCTACAAATTGGTGTAGTAGTTTAGTTAATGATAGTATATGTTTTTTAATATTTGATTAAATAATCAGATTAAAAATTAAGATAAAAGTACAGTAATAAAACAAGATTACCAGGCAAACTAAATGCATCCGTGCTAGATCTAGAGATGGCAGTGCGGCTGTATAATTCAAGTTCTCAAATTTTTTTCTTATTTTCTACAGAGAGAGAAACTAAGGCGAAGGGAGACAGAGGTTCAACTTGACTCAATGAAGCATCCCAATACATTCTATAATTCTCCAGGGGGATACTCTAGCCCAGTGCTGCGGCATACAGAACTATCCCATAATAGCATGGATTCTGATAGTGGAATAAGGTATGTTTTTAGCTCCGATTATGAGCTCTAGGAAACTGGCTGTGGGATTGAGTAATAGATCTTTTTTGTATAGGTGACTGTGATTAATTAATAGGTCATTTTTGTGCTGAATGCTTAATAGATCCTTTTTGTATCTTTTTGTGCTGATCTTTTTTGTATGGGAGGCCGTTAGGGCCAATTGTTATTATTATTATTAGCTCCGATGAGAAACTCTAGAAACACTCGGCTAAACCTAACTTGTTGTTACCAGAACTTTAAAAGCTGCTAGCATCGCCAGTTTTGAAAGATGTGCAAGAAATTTTGAACACATAAACATTCGTGGCCCTTTTTTTATGTTTGGACCCCAGGGTACCTTATACACCTACAAAACAAAACAGGGGTTTCAGCAAGGACTGTACATTACTGCCATAACCACAAATAGGACACGTCGCATGGATGGCGCGGTCCGTTAACGATGTTCTAAGGAACCAAAGGTCGTGATTTCGAATCGCGTCTTGGTATTCAATTTTTTTTTTTTCAAATTTAAGACATTTTAATTTTGTACAAATGAACATTCTAATTATATAAAAAATTCCGTCTCACTATACTGCCCTCATCGGAGAATTTGAGATTACAAGGCCTTGTTTTTAAAGTGTTTATTCCAAGCATTATCATTTGGAATTAGTCATTTGAATGTGACTAAGTTTTAAACTTGCTTGTCACAGTTTTTCCAATAGGACAAAGTCCCCCGTTGGTCACAGTCCCCTTCTGATGATGGCTAGGGGTGAGGTCAGTCCCCAGACATCAACCAAGATTGATGGCCTATCACTGAGGAGTATGAAGGATGCCATGTATGAGAGTGAGAAGAGGCGTGTCGCGCTGATGGACAAACTCAGAGAGGCTCAGGAAACTTTACAGGTAAGAATATTATAATGTCAGACACATAAAATTTAACTATTATTATTTATCAATGGCATTATCATTATTATGTTGTATTGTCCAGTAAATAACAGATAATATTCAAAGGATAAATCTATAGTATTTTTTAAAATGATCAAATAGATTGAAACATTGAATCTCAAAATGTGTCGGTCTTTTTTCGGACTTGCTGTCTTTTTGTTTCATTTAAATCTATAGTGTTGATATCGGGCTGTAACCTTGCATCACACTCAATCTCAAAAGAACAGTTCATGATAATGTTTATTTTCAGTTTTGGTGAGAGGATTTATATAAATCAAGCTCTCTGCCATTTCTCTGTGTTATTGGTAAATATTAGACACCACTAGAAATAGCCATATTTTTGACTTTTTAGTTTTATTTTTATCTAGGTTTAATTCTTGGTTTCATTTGATATGAATTTGTAATTCTGTTACTTATTATCAGATTTTCCTAAATATCATAAAATAAAATATTTTAAACACCTGAAACTGCCCCTTTAAGATTTGATTGGTTTAAAGTAAGCATGTGTTCTCATCTCATGGGTAGCAGGCCTTGTTTATCATGAAATATATTGTAACTTGTTTTGTAAATTTTGTTTAGTTACAGACAGACCAGCTACGTGAACATGAGGCAATGTTGACCGATAAACAGAACACTGTTCAGGCCCTAGTGACAACTAATGAGGTATATTGTTTTTATATTTTTTTTGTGATTATTTTTTATTTGTTATCCATTTTTAGTTATCTTTTTACAATGTTGTTCTTCACAATTTTTATTTTTTTATTTGCTTATAGATTAGTCAACTACTGTACAATCTGAATGTATTTTTATTAACCCCATGACAAAAATTGTCAGATTGGTATCCAATATGTAATATAAAGTGTTTTTATCTGAAATACTGTTCACTTTGTGCTTTGGATCATTTTATGAATTAACACTGTGTAAAATATCTTAATAATATTGTTTGATGGTGTTTATTAGTTTGCAATTTGGGAAACTAAATTTTTAGATAGTAGTTAATGGGTAGCCGACATCTGAAAATCTGCCTCTTGCATTTAATGATAGTGCATAGCTTCCATTTTTGTTTAGATTATCACATCATCACAATTTCAGAGTGCTAATTAGTTACCACATGCGAATGCTTAGTTGCATGTTACAATGACAACTGCCAAAGAATTTCTGAATAAGCAGTACATCATGCAAAATCTGGTACCAGAGTCTAAAACTTTAAATTTTCATGTCCAACATTTAAATGAACTCTTTTCACATGTGTGGTCATTTTGTAAAGTATCTGGTACTGCTTTGATTTTGGCAAGTTGAATGAGGATAGCGGTATTCTTTTAATATTTCTATCTTTAATAGTCAACCTTGGGCAACCGGTTTTTTATTCAGTAAATATATGTTGCCGAATTTTCATTGTGATGATACAACTGCTATTGGCTTTTTTTGGGTATTGTGGTTACTAATCTTGCTTTTATATATTTTTTTTTGCATTCACTTATTTTAGTCTCTACAACAGAAAATAATCAATTTACAAAGACAATCAGATGTGAATGAAGTAAGTCGGAATGAAACAGACAAGAAAAAGGAAGTACTACAGCGCAGGTGAGAATAATGTATCCCATTACTCAGTGGTGTAACAACGAATTACAGGGCCCGGGGGAAAATGTTGGGCCCACATGCATTTTAGTAAGTGATTGCGGGTGTCACGAAAGTCCATGATGGATTCCTTCACAGTAGAATATCAAACAATACCGTAGCCTGTTTTTATTATTACAGTATAATTTGATTCATATTTTCAGTGAATTCTAATAGCCCTTATATCATTTTTATGTCGAACTATTTAAATTCAATTTGTAGTGGAGCTTTGAAACGTTTTGCATCAAGAATTGATATTGACTCCCCGAGAGTGCTTAGGTATTACACCACTGTTTAAAGCCCCTTTAGAAAGCGAATTTGGAAGAAGATAATTAAAGATTGTGTGAGTTTGAGATGGGTAGCATTTGGAAGTTTGTGTGACTGATTGTGATGTATGAACCTTAAGACAGAGATTTCAATGTATAGGTTTTTTGAGAGTTGATTTCTTTTTATTCTAGGGTTGATGACTTAGACCAGAAGTTGAAAAGTCTGCAAACATCCCATTCAACCATACAGTCAGAGCATCGTCAGAGGGAGGTGATGTTGGAGCAGACTACACTTACTCTTAAACTTGTTGAAGAAGAGAATGATCAATTAAAACAAGTAAGTGATAAGGCCCAACACTAAAATAGTGCGCAAGCTTAATAAATTCTGAAACACTTCTAATTGAAAGATGGCCACTTTTTCACACTGTTTATTTCCACACAGAAGTGTAAGTTTGTGCATTGTAGGCCGGCCAATTGTAATGTGTGTTACTAATGATTTGCTAGTAAAGTACATACCAAACCAAATAATGGATTTTCTCAGTAAAAATGTTGTTTATCAGCTAAAACCTGAAGTGTCCTGATCTGTGTCTTATTAATAGTCAACTTATTTGCTTTATTAATGACCTATTAAAATGATGACGGGATGTGTTACTTGTGCAAATTGTGTCTTGCTTCCAGACTAGAGATACAATGCTGAAGGAAGCATTAGCCTTGAGGGAATCACTTCAAATGTCGCGTACAAAATGTGAAAAGTTTAAGGTGGAGCAGAAGGAGCATGAAGGAATTCGGCAGGTAATACAAATCAGAAAAATATTGTCACAAAATCCAGTAATGTATTTATTGATCATTAAATTTCATCAAGTATACACAGAAATAAGTTCATTTTTCAAACTCTTGTTAATGATGATTTCAATAATTTCTTACTATGTTTTTAGAATTGTAACTTGTTGACTTCAAAGAACATGGAGATATCATCAGAGTTGTTGGAGAGTCAAAGCATAGTTAATGAACTTAGGAATCAGTTGCAATTTATTGAAGGAGACAAAATGAAATTAATTCAAGTAAGTGGTAGTTAATGGAACAGCCTATGTGGGTGTTTGCTTTTGTTAGTCTTAGGATATTTCTCTGTGTTTTATTTCTGCTTCCAAGACTTTGCATTTCAAGCGCATAGAGACAAGTAATATACTGCCATTATCATTACCATTAATGGAACAGCCACAGGTCATTTCAATTTATTAGTTTCATTAAAGAGTATAGAAATGTAAGAGGTCCGACTCTTGTGGGTTCATTGGAACGTAATCCTATTTCAAAAAGCACTACAGTGAAGGAACGTGTCCTTCAAAAGACGAGTTTCGAGCAAACTCTTCAAATTCTAATGGGGCACCCCCCTATCTTGTAGTAGTACTTTTTTAAAATTTTCAATTTGTGCATAAAAAATGAGGGCAGTCGGACCTTCTGCAATTCTATGCTCTTTCGTCTCATAAACAGTTAAGCATCACAAATAAGAGCAAAAGTGATAAAAAATGATCTTTTTATTCTGGAACTTTTTTAACTGTGAAGGAATAAATCCTGAATATTTTTTGATAACATCTTCCTTATGGATATGTCACAAGCGTGTGTTTTTCTTTAAGGAACGAGACTCATTTCAAAGTCGTGCAGTTGATCTTGAAGAGACATGCTCTGACTTGAGTAATAAACTTGGCACAGCATCAAACACCAAGGAACGACTGATACAAGAAAAAGTGGATCTCCAGCAACTTTTGAAGTATGCAGGATTTGAGAAAGAACAAATATTAACGGTAAGATGATGTATATTTATTGTGTAACAGTAGCATTGCTAAGTGCAATATTAGTAGTAGCAGAAGCATAGAAGTAGTATCAGCAGCAGTGTTAGTAGCAGCAACATAGTTGCAACATCAGCAGAAGTAGAAGCAGCAGGAGTAGCACATGTATCAGCCAAAGTAATAGAAGCTGTAGAAGTGGCAACAGCAGAAATATGATTTTTTTTAATCGATATTAAGAATTTTCAATGCTTTGATCATAAGGACTGTGAGTTAGGTCTGTAATTATTATTATTGTTATTATTTTCATGCTTTCAAGGCTAAAAAAGAATTGGAGGAACGGGTAGAAGAGTTTAGGACATCGTCTCATAGATTGACCAATGAACTAAGAGATGCTCAACAAGATAAAGAGAGATTGGAAAATGAATTGTCAGCGGTGAAGAAGGTATGACATGCATCCATCTAATGAGTTCTTTAGTTAATCATAATCGCCATGGAACTCTTGTTCTACCTAATTTTAGATTAACCTCTGATAGTGAGGCATTCAAGATCCTCCTTAAAACTTATCTCTTTAATCAATAATTCATCTTATATCTTTAATTGTCAGTGACAAATAAAAGTTTATACAAATTCTGCAGTTTATTATTTATTAGTATCATCATCATCATCATCATCATCATCATCATTATTAAATTATTACTTTTGTACCTATATAATAGGTTGGAGAAGGTCTATCATCAGAATTATCAACAGTTAAAAAAAATTTAGAAGCTACAGAGGAGGAAGAACGACAACTTCAATCAGAGAAAAAGTCGGCCCAGCAACAGAGTGCATACTGGGAAAACGAAGTGAAAAGACTTACTGGAGAAAGAGACTCCTACAGCAAGGTATATATTGAGAAAATTTTTCATATATTATTTTATATATTATTAGTATTTTTATATTTTTTAAATATTTTTTTTTATTTGTTTGTATTTATTTATTTTTTATATATATATTTATCGCAGTTTTATCTAATTTTATGATTATTATTATTATTTGTTATTGTTGCTGCTGTTATTTATTTTATTTATTTTTGTATCTGTTGAAACATGTTTTCAATATCTTAGAGTGTGGATAGACTACGTCTTGAATTAGACCGAGAACGAGATCAGAACTCCGAACAGAGTCATCAACTTCGAGAAAATGTTCGCTTGATACGACAAGAAAGAGATGAGCTGCAGACAAAGTGTCAAGAGCTAGAAACTGTAAGATTGTAATACTTCTCAAGTATCTCAGATTTTATCTGACATGATTTATCTCAATGTTATTTATTGTACCAGCATTAAGAGTACATTTTTGTCTGCTAGACTCAACAGATAAATGTTTAATCAAATATTTATCATGTATGTTTGTTTAGTTATCATTTCACCAGTAAATTGTTATACGATCACAAGAACTGTGGTAGAGTGGCTCGATTGCTTAGCAGCAACAAGTGTTGGTTGTTTCTGTCTCACATCAGCACGCATCAACCTCTTGGTGTACATCCAAATGGTGATCAAATTAACCATGTAAAATAAATTAAGGTAATCTGTAATGTCGTTGAATCATAACATATTTTTATTATGATACTTGTTTGTAATTGTTTTACAGAAACACAAGAAAGCCAACAGTGACCTCCATCAGGCAACACTCATCCACCAACAGGAGCTAGATGACTGGAAATCATCCTGTGAACAACTTACAAACAACATAAGTGAGAAGAATGATGAAATATTGATGCTAACAGAAAAAATGGAAGAAGCAAGTGAGAAGGTAGGCATCTCCAGGAAATCCTTATATTCAGCCAGTAACTATTCCCACTATAGTATCTGTACTGATATTTCTTGTCATTGTACCATAGCAGGCCTCATCTTGTCAGTGCTAGATCACCACTTCAAAGCATGGTGTAATAGGCCTAATGGTAGTGCCAGCCTTACAATCACATGACAAAGGTTTTCACAGACACCAATGGACAATCAAAATCAGTTTTATAAAAATCATTGACATATTGACTCTTATTGCAGTTGAATGAATTGCATGGTGAGAACTCTGCATATAGAATCCGCCAGGAAAACTTTGATGACTACGAAAGAGAAATTGACCGTCTCCAGGAGAGACTCCAGGAACTGACCAATCAGCATGCTGAAGACCAGCAAGTCATCTCTTTGCTGGAGATGCAGAAGAATATATTAAGCAAAAACCAAGTAGGTTGAAAAAAATTGTTTTTACCGATGAGAAAAAATTTTTTGAATGTGAATGCAAGATGGAATATTTTATTGCTTGATAAGGCAAGACTTTTTTAAACCTTGTTTAGCGAAACCCTCCAACCACCAATAATTGTGATTTTGAATAAAAATAAAATTTTATTTTTGGCCAATTAGTGCACCCTCTGCCACAAACAATGGAAATTTCAGGAAAAAATAAATTGTTTTATTTATTTTTATTACACCCTCCGCTCCCCTGAAATCTCCAAAAATAAGAAAGATTATATTTCTTCCTTTAATTATATAAATTTAAAGAATTTATCAATCTCATACTACTGTTTACATTCGTCAATAAAATGTTATGTTTATTTTCTTCTCTGCCTAAATGCTTTTGGCAAATCATTTTGCTAAATCAAAAAACAATATTTATTTTTTCTACACTCCTCTGACTATCTTTGAAAAAAATAAGTTCGTTAAACAAGGTATTAAATGCCATCTGTGACCTATTAACCATTTCTTATTCTTATTCTTTATTCGCCAAAAAGCAAAGTACAATACATTGGTCGCATACATACAGAATACAAGTACAATAAATTGAATGAGTCAGCAGGAACACAGAAGCGAAGTAAATCATTATACCACAAAGTCTGTGAACCTCACTCATCCTGTTGAACGTAAATACAATATTATAAATAAAATAGGTCAATTATAATAAAATAAAACAAAATTAACAAAATACAGAAAGCAATTATCTAAGTAAGTAGAATACAAAATATAAAAATATTTTTAAAAATACAGGCTGCTTAATGTGTAACCCTTTCTTACTTCTATAATTTTTTTAATTTCTGGGCACAAGTACTGCCAATATGAAATCTTAGCTGCAACCATAATACTTGTGTTTACTTCTAGGTCTCCTAACAAAAATTGTTATCTGTATCTTGCTTCTTTTTGCCTATATTATAAAAAAATGTATAATTCTAATATTTTGATATTACAGTCATCTGCAGGCAACAAATTGAACTCAGATCATCTTAAAGCTGAGGTCGAAAGGTTAAAAGCAGAACTCCAACTATCACAGTAAGGGCATCCATTATTTTGACAAATCTGCTTTTCACAACTATCCAATCAGATCCAGTCTTAATGATCCAATCAAGTGTTTGTGTTAGGTATAATAATCTTTCTACTTTGCATGATTTTTCTCTCTTTTTCAGGGACAAGATGATAGAGTTAAGGGCAGAGATTGATCGAACCCAGAGCACAGAGCAACTGCAATTTATTCGGCCGTGCAGCAAATGTGAAGAATATTTGGAATCAAATGCAAGACTACGGGAAATCAACAAAATGATGACAGACAGGGTGTCAAAGGTCAGAGCTAGTCTCATAATGTAATTCTTTTGGAAAGACATGATAAAATAAATGATATGAAATTTTCAAACCTCTTTAATCATTTTTAACAGAATTTAACAGTGATATAATATGACACAAATAAATTTAAGACTCTTATAGCATCAGGGAGAACGCAAGGTATAAGGAACAGATAAAAACTAACAAACAAAATTAGTTTATTGTCACATAAACATGCAGAACAGCCATTTCACTTCCTCTATCCTTTTTAATGCAGGTTGAAAATGATGCTGAGATGAGCAGCAAACGAGCATCGGAAGCCAGCCATTTTAAGGCAAAGTCTCTAAGTCTTGAGGAACAAATTGATACGCTTCAAGACTTAAATCTCAATCTTAGCAAACAAGTTGCCAAACTTGAGCTGGAGAACCTACAGATGTCAGAAAGGGTGGGCAAAGCTCAAGAAGTCGGACTACGCAATAATGACCTTGACGAGCAAAACCAGACGCTTCAAGAATTAAACAAGATGTTGACTAATAAGGTAGCTTATTAAATATTTTTCTAGTGATTAATAGTGGAGTAACTATAGATGTTTCCTGTTCTCCTCTTACAGCATATCCCAGTTGTTGGTTGAACTGGTGGTACAGTAGTTACTATGTGTGCACTAAACTGTGAAGATGCTCTTATATTCTTTGGTTTCTGATTCTATTCAATCTCTGTTCTAAGTGTATTTTATTTGGAGGGCTGAAATTTTAGTATAGTTGCACATTAACTCCTGTCCAACTCGCTTTTCCTACTACTGCAACATGCTGCATGTTTCTTGTGTTGGGAATGTTCTTACTGGTGAGTGATCTTTCTGTGCTCCCACTCGTTGGTACTTCCTGCCAGCTAATCTTAAAAGTTTATCCAGTTCTTAATAATTTTTTACCCAACTTAAACTTGCCTTTTTTTGCGAATGATGTTTTTATCAGCAACTGTTCAAACTACAGTATTCTCTAGTGGCAAGTTTTAAACTTTCATAAACTCTTGTTATTGAATGTGTATCATTAGCCAGGGGTGGCGCCAGGATTTGCTCAACGAGGGGGGTGCGATGCCCCGACGAAGGGTCAGATTTCCCTGACGAAAGCAAAGTGGGCGTGGTCGAGTTTCGACTAAAAGGTGTTGAAAGTGGTCCTGGTGGCGAAGCACCCGAAAATTTTGACAATTTAGGGGTTTCAAAGGCTTATTTAATCGATTTTATAGTCCACTAATATGTAGAAAATACATATAATTTTTTTTTCTCCCCGACGAATATTGCTTTTTCTCCCCACCGGGGGGGGGGGCTGTCCCCCTTGGCCCCCCCTGCTGGAGCCACCCCTGTCATTAGCTCTAGTGCTCTCTAAATGTTGTGTTTTTCTAGACATTCAACTAGATTGTGCATGCAAAGATAAAAACAGCACCTAGCATTGGAATCTTTTTTGTGAGATTTCTGTCTATTCAACTTCTAGTACACTACTGCCTCCAACATGCTTATTTATGATGCATAACATTTTAATTTTTTTTTCAAAGATATCACGTTTAGAGCAAGAGCATCAATCGGTAAATCATGCTCGAGAGAGGGAGCTGTTTGAGCAGAACCAAACGCTAACAGATATTAATCAAATGCTCACAGAAAAACTGTCAAAAATGGAACAAGAAAAGAAGGAGCTTGTTATGAATCAGTCAAAAGAGCCAGTGGTATCACTCAAAGAATTTGACAGGTAGAGTACAGGCTTGTATATGCAACACTGTCTCATGAATATTCACGATATAGTATGCTATTTTGAAATTTAACATATACTGTACTCCATATAATACAGTCTTAATTCATGAATATCTTTAAATTTATCATGCCCCCATCATGAATATTAAACACTTGCTATGCTCCGTCATACTTCACTTTTGCTATACTCCATCAAGAACATTCAACCCCCTTCAAGCACTCAACATGTACTATGCTTTATCATGCATATTCATCAAGCCTTCATGAATAGTCATTAAACATGTTTCAGGATTGATCGTGAAAAGGATAAAGTAAATGCAGACATGGAGACCCTGAGACATGAGTATGAAGACTTACAAGAGAGACACAAACAATTTGTTTCTGAACATCTATCACGAACACTGGAGACATCTAACACAATGTCCCCAGAGTCTAAGGGTAAGATAAGAGGATCTATTTTATCTTGTGTAGTAACACTGATAATGATATGTAATCATGACACATTGCAGAATGTAATTATCTAATATCATTGCTCTTCTTAACTTCCATCCAATTTACTAGTTGCTATTGAATCTAATTTTTCGGTGAATTGCTTATATAACTCACAAGACGCAGATGAAAATAGTTTGGCAGGAATTGGAAATGGTATTTTATATGTGCATTAGTAGTATATGGTTATGTAGAATAGAAATGTAACATAACTGATTTTGTGGTTGTAACATACTATTGATTATGGTAATGTGATAATGAGGGTGTTGATAATAATATAAAAAAGTTATGGTGATGATGATGGTAAAGATAACAATGATAGTGGTGATGTGGATTGTAAAGATAACTATGATAAAAAGAGGATGCTGGTGATGGTTAATATAAATTATATTTTGGTATTTATATTAATGTGGTTATTTTCATTTTTGTTTAATATATTGTTATTTCTGTTGTTATTATTATTACTGAAATTTTTGTATACAAAACAATTTTTTTAGGAGCTCACCCTCTAATGTGATTTTTGCTTGCTGCTTTGCCAAAAATTAATAATACGTTTGATATTTTTCATTGGTTTATATCATTATCAGCAGCTATATACTTGGTGTATAGGCCTATTTTTCTATGTATTATTTTTATGTTTAGCTTAGCATTGTTATATCGCTTTTCTTTTTTCTTATGTAATTAACTTTTTCATGTAAAATCATTCACGCCTTACCCATTACACTTTTAGGTGAAAATAGACGGAGATATAGTATTGCCAAGGAACACAAGCTACATATGTGACCATCGTTTGGTTAAAAGCCTAAAAAATTCACATTGCAACATTTCCAGTGGCCTCCACATCATATATTATGCAATTATTGATTTTTGAGTACTCTATATAAAATAGAAGCCGAAATTTTTGAGGAAAATAATGGCTCCTAAGTTTTCTATTTGTGTACAGTATTACTTGACTATAATTGCTTTTTAAGTCAGTTTAGAAGTCCATCACCTTTTTTTTATGAACCTTTAATCAAACTGCTGGTTTTAAAGCGGTTGCTATATTAAACTGCCGGTTGCGGTGACCGGTTGCTCAGTGATCAATAAATTAACTGAAATAATTCAATGTTTACAATAAATTTAAATCTGTAATGTTTACCAGGAGGTTAGGCCTACCTAAACTACATCAACAACAATCAATTTTCTTCATCATATCTTGAAAAAGCTGCAAAGATTGTCAGTCACTGCAACCTGGCAGTTTGATTTAATATATAGCCCAAGCATAATTATATGAAACAAAGTGATTGACTTATAAAGGAATTATAGTCAAGTCATTTTGAACCCTATAGAAAATGGAAGCCTTAGGAACCATTATTTCCTTCAAAAATTGCCTTTAGACCTCCAGGCTTCAGGCAATTTTTTGAGGAAGTAATGGCTTCTATGGCCTGTATTTTTTCTAGGGTCCTCAAAACTTGACTATAAATGCATAATACAGGCAGGGCATACCTTTAAATTGATCTGGCTTGTAAACCAACTCAACATATTTTGTTTTATAAATTATACATATAGCATTTTTAATCCAGCTTTTTTTCTAACTATTCCTATTATTATGTTTGAACTTTGGCTTAATGCTTGCATTGCAATTCAGAGGTTTGGTTCAGTTTTAGAAATTTTTTTTTTTTTTCCTGAGCCGACAACATCATATAAAGATATGTGCTAACAGTTTATTAAATCCTTTACTTAATAATTTGCACTTAATATCTTTCAATTAAAGTATTTCTTAATATTGTGTGTTTTGTATAATATACAGTAGTGTGTGGACGTACCATTTATAATGTGTACCTTTGTTTTACAAGAGAAGCTTCAATAAATATTATAATAGAATAAATGTTTTGACTGAAAAGTAGGCCATGCATAGTACTGTACTAGTAATCTATACCATAGTATAATACATACTCCAAGTATCGAAATGCATGCCATCATGTCGGGATTCAATATTTCAACATTAATTATGTCATCATATAATAATCTATACCATTAATTTTTAATTCAGTATTCCCAATGTTTTTAAAATTTAGATATCTACGACTCTGAGATGCGCAAATTGAAGACCGAGAATGAAACACTACGAAGGCAGAACGACCTTTCGCACAGTCAGACCGTGATTGCAGACAACGCTCGAAAACGGGCTGAAGATAGAATTCGTAAGGCACTTCGCTTTCAATTAGCTCCAAATAAGAGTAATAACCAGAGAAAAAGCTCAGAAAATGGCGAAGAATCTTAGTAGAGAATTTAGTCCTCCTTGTCAGGTTATCAAAACTTAATTTTGTTTATCTGTTTAAAGAATTCTATTTTCACTTGACAACAAACACACAAATTTAGGGTGTAGACACACACTGCTTCATATGAAGGTTTGCATGACTGGCATTCTTTTTATGTTTGCATCAGGGATATTTGGTCAATATCTTGATAAAAATTTTTGTAGTTAAAAAATTTGAAATTTTAGTGGGGTTCTTTTGAGGTTTTTTTTTTCCCGGATATATATCTTCACATAATTTTGATAATAATTTTATGGGGAAAAAACACAGAAAGTGGTAGTCTTGTCACAAGTCACATGTTGCAATACTCATTTTTATTATGGAAACTACTTTTTAATTTAAGATCTTGATATGACTAAGGAGATAACAAGCACAAACTCTGATTTGCTTATCTTTTTTGGGGAGGTTTTTTTGGTTGTGATGTAGTTAACATTATGATCCCATATGTCTGCTAAAACAGTGTTTGTCAAGAGTAAATGCATGGGCATAGAGAATGTTAATGTACTGCTTCACAATTATTGGAAAGGATGAGTCTACTACATGACTGCATGTTGAAATGTTGACTCACACTAAACCATCATGTGATCAGGACTGTCATTTTCATGATCATATTTCTTGCTGTTGCTAAACACATTTATTTACTATACCAAGTAGAATTGAAGTGAATTTTAAGCAAATTAAAAAAATACCTCTTAAACATTCCGTTTAGACAGCACATCCACATATACGCTAATTTGGTACTTATTGCCTACAATTTATGTTCCTTGGCCTACTTGTACATATATTTTAAGTTTGTTGCTTGCTTTTAAAGGGTTTTGTGTGATAATCACATGATTTTAGCTAATGCTATCTGCCTTTTTCTTCATTATTTATTATTTATGCATCACCTTGTTTTTCTCATTAAATACATCTTAATATTTGTCATGAAATGCATCTTTATACTGAGTATTTTAATAATTACATCAAATGCTAGGACAATGAACTATTTGATAATCAATATCATGATTGTTAGTAATTTAGTATAATGAATTAGATTTTTTGAAAGAGAATTTTATACTTTTAATATATCTTTTTTTCTCGCATAACATACATTAAAATTTATAAATATTATGTAAATTTTGTGTAGCCAAATCTTTTTTTTTTATTAGACAACAACTTTATGCACTACATAATGAAAAATAAATGATAATGATAGCAATAAAAATAATGATGATGATAACAATATTGAAAATAATAATGATAATAAAATAGTAATTTATACTATGCCAAGGGATACAAGATGTTGGTAATGTTAATTAGTAATTAATAATTATAATATTAATAGTAATAATAAATTATTATAATGGAATTCCATGTTTTATATGTTAGAATTTCTAAGGTAATTAATACATTTCCAAGCATCATTTGGATGTTAATATGGTATGGCTTTCATATTGGTGCTTTCTAAAATTTGGTTAAAGTAGGCCTATAATGTATATATAATCATATATTTATTCATTTTAATATATTTATTTTAACAATGTTTTTGGAAGGCGGACCGTCCAGCTGAAGCTTCATTATTTCCTACAGGGTTTTAAAAATGAGATTTTCTATGTAAAAATCACAACTGCAATTTTAAAATTCATATTTTCTATGCAAAGATCACAACATAAAAATATCTGGAATTTTTATTTTTAAGTAAATAGAAAAAAATGTTTTAATATGAAATCTTCAAATATTCCTGTAAATATGAATATTTTTGTTGACAATGATAAATGTTGCAATCATTAACTATCAATCAATCAGTCAATCACGGTCAATCAAAATCATGTGATACAATTTTAATCAATCATTTTGATTCCAATCAGTTTTAAAATCAGGATATATTCATATATGAATATAGCTTTATTATGTATATGATAGTCACTGCTGTAAGACCATAGCTATAAACCAGTCTTAGCTAAGTAAGATCATAGCTATAAACCAGTCTTAGCTAAGTAAGATCATAGCTATAAACCAGTCTTAGCTAAGTAAGACCATAGCTATAAACCAGTCTTAGCTAAGTTCTTAATGTTTATTTAAAAATAGTATATTTTTGCTTTTAGATAGAAAATTAAGTTTTCTATATCCTCATTAATATTTTGTCCATAAAGGAAGCTATCTTGCCAGCTTATATTCCAATTACAATTACACCCTTCTTCACGCATGCTAAAAATGCAGTGGCGGTGCTACGGGGAGACAGGGAGAATTTCCCCCCCCCCAAAAAAAAAGGGGAAAAAAACCCCCTGAGAATTCAGAAGCTGGTGCCACCACTGTAAAAATGTATGGCCAGTTACCAGATTATACTGCAATATAACAGTAGTCTGTAATCATAAAAGAGTTAGCAAGAATGCAGTGTAGTGTAATGTTATATTGCATTACAGTAATGGTAATAATAGTTGGATTTTGGTATCCCTTGGATTACTACAGAATATTTGATTTCAAGCTTTAGGTATTTTAGTTGTTTGCTATTTTGTAGATCAGGGGCGGATTTAGAGGTGGGACGGGTCGGCCCTGGCCTCCCCCCTTTTTGAAAGTCAAAAAAAAAGAAAAAGAAAGAAAAAGAAAAAAATGATCGCCCAGAAGGCCTCAGAGGTTATTTTCGGGCATCTAGAACACGGAGATTTAGCAGAGGCATGCCCGGATCGCTAGGGTATTCTTATCTCGATCAGCCCCACTTTTAGCTCTCCCCCTCCATTTTTGGACATCTCTGGATCCGCCCCTGTAGATTACCTTTGAGGATGGTTATTTATACCATATTTTTGTTGTTGCTTTGCTTGAGTTTTTGTCTGTTCTGCAAACACTCACAAAAAATGTATGATTTTTTTTGTCACCATTTGCTGAAATGTCAAAATGACTCACTTCAAATAAATATATTTCTGAGTGACTTATGAATGCTGTTTTCTAACTTCATTGGCTAATAGTATCATCTACATTCCATTATACATTTAATCTATTTATAATAATCTTTAAATAATTTCATTTTGTTTCTATAATGTAAATTATGTACGATTCTTCGTAAATAAACCAAATTTTCATTCCCAGAGTTTTGATCCGATATCGGTTTTCATTAGGCACTGCAGCTAGCAATTGTTTGTCACACAGGACATCAAGTCAGGAATGCTGCTGGCACTCATTCTCCAGATATTTGTTGACAGGCGTGTGATATGTCTGATGTGGGTGTTTCGAACCATGGGGCTGACTAGAGCCTAGGTCAGGGTACATAGAGAAAGTTATTATGACTTAGTGTGGCCTAAAATTGTGCTTTCAGATCGCATAAGGGATTGGCATTCAAAATAACATGATTTGGTAGGCAAATTAGTATTTTTGGTCTGACGACCTTGTACCATCGGACGACGGGGGACTAGGCGACACAAGAAACATCAAGAAATTGTTAGTCGCAGTCCCTGATGGAGATCAAACCAAAAGTATGATCAAAATAATTTCAATTGACTTTATTCACAAAGAATCTTGCATAGTTTAATGATAATATTTAATGTTTTGAAATGGTATGTTCTTGATTACCAGATTGGTAATTCTCAAAATTATGTTACACTTTACTTAAGGAAAATTCAGTGGTTACTTAAAGTGTAAGTGCTATTATTTAAGCTTAATCAAGAATACTCAAGAATTCACAGCTTGTATTAATGCACGAACTACCAATAATCTTTAATATCTACTCAAAAGCACTGATTATCAATAGTGATAGATTCATCATCTTCAAGATGTTAGATCCTGTAAAAAGTGTTTTGATATGTGCTACCATCAATGAGTATACTGCCCTCCTGCTTACAATTTTCTTCAATTGTTAACTCCCTAACTTGCCGAAATATCAGGTAAGTATCAATCATGTTAACAATATATCCATGGGCTTAAGCGGAACACTACCCATTTAATTGGTTTTATTTACTAACCAATGTAGAATTTATAGTTAATTGTTTTTCTGATATTCCATTCATTTTTCATCAGATTCCATTGTCTCCAAAACATTAGTTTTGTCATGTCCATCATCTGTCAGTAGTTTTAGAGTAATTTCTAAGTATTAATCATTATTTTAAGTTATTTTTATTAATGTTTTTTCTGGTTAGATTTTCTAAACATATCTTCCATCACTAAAAATGAAAATCTAAATCATGTTGATTTATATAAATTATTTTATGAATTATTTAACAATTCATAGTTATACTGTATAATCATACATTTATTTAATATGCTACTGTGTGAATTTAGGGTTTTAGGATTTGTACTAAAGTACTCAAGTATTGATTCTGATAATTTAAATAATATAGCTTTTTATTTATTCATTTGGTATCATTGCCTGGGAGATGCAAAAGCAATTATTGTACTATAATACTATATAATAATTTATTATGGTTTATTCAAATACAAATATTAATATCTGTATCTGAATTCTAATTTTCAGATCAAACTGAACTCGCTTTAGCTGATTTGAGAAAATCATATGAATCGTCTTTATCTGGTAAAGCAAGCAACAAAGAAGAAATACTTAAGTGAGTTAAATTTTATACTCAAAAGATTTGTTTTGTGTTCATTGAAATTAGGGATAGCACCACTTTTTAATACAATCCCAAACCATGAGGTGTCCTGGTTATTAATTTATCAATAAGGGTAAGCCAGGCTATCTCTGTCTCAACAATTGTGTGATATGTAACAACTATTGTTTGCAGTGTTTATTGTAAAAGATAAACCATACTGGTAAATCCAGACATTATTTCCTAGTTCCAAAATGAACATTAACAAACTTACGTTAAATTTTGTATAATATATATGATGAGACAGAGGCCATATTATTATACAATGAATAAATGTCCTAGACTTTGTGTCTAGGAACGAATGTTCAACAAAATGGCGTACCGAAAGTTTAAAGATTTTGTTATTGATACTCACCATGCAAACCCGTAAGAAATAAATTTAATTTTATAAATGGTTTTTAATTTTATTAGAACCAAAGAGATAATAATAAATGTTACCTCATTGACCTTTCATCAGACTTAAACTGGACTAGTACTTGTAACATTTAATATCAACTCTTTGGTTCTAATAAAATGAAAAACTCTTTATAGTCATATACACAGAACCAGATGAAATTCTTCCATGATTGATCGACTTCCTAGTCCACATATCAAACGCCCTGAGCATCTTACATGTGCGCATGGATATGTGCACTATATAAAACTACACAATTATTATTATTATTATTATTATTATTATTAATAATATTATTATTAAAATTTAATTGTTGTTTAATTCAATAATTAATGTGCTTATTCATGATTTAATGGCCTTATGAAATTAGTTGTAAATCTAACTATTTTTGTACATTTGTAAGGTTGGAGGGTGAAGTTAGAAGTCAGGTGATCAAGAATGAGAGTTTGCAGCAAACCATCAGCAAACTTCAAGCTGAAAATAAACGTTTGGTAGATACCCAACAACAAAAACAAGGTTTCTTTAACTTTTGTTATTAAGATTTCCATATTTTAGAATTGATATTAATTATTTAATCTTATAAATTGAATTCTTTAGATTCAAGATTAGTTTGAAGGTTCTCGAAATAAAATAAATGATAGATGATTTATGCATGTACAGCAGACAATGATTCATAATGTTATCTCATTTTATGTTTCAAAGAAAACATTAGAATCGCAAGGTAAACATGAAATATCAATTTTTGCTTTTAACAGCAAATGTCTCACAATTTACAAAATGCTCTATAAGATTTAGGAAGATGGATTGTTTTAGTAATAAGAAAAACATTGTGCCTTTTCATTTTATTCACCAGCGCCACTCCAAATGGTTAGCTTATGAAAATATGCTTGGTTTGAAGGCCTTAAGCCCTTTATTTTTGCTTTATTTTTTTTTTCTCTAGTTGGGTAGCCTCTGATTTTAAATTATCATTTGCATACCCTGTTTAGATAAAGGCGAATGCCCTGATTGTAAGCGAACAAGGGTAGAGCTTGACTCCATACTCCAGGAAAAAGACTTACTGGAGGAAGAGAATGAAGAATTGAAACAAGATGTAGAACAACTTGAGTCACAATTAGATATAATGCAGCAAGATGTGGATAATAGGTATGAGACTGCTTATTTTTATTTTAGTTTGTAAAAATAAGTTACATAAATTTATTGACTCTGACTCACCAGTTTTTGGGTGCATCATCTGTCTAGAAGGTGTGCCCAGTACACACCTCCAATTGGCAGATGTCTGCTTGGAGATGAGAGAAAGGTATGATGCCAACAGACCAGATCACTGTTCATAGATGAGAATAATCTGCTCTCCAGCTGAAGGATGATGGTGTATGAAGAACTAAAGAGATTCAATCTCTTGTCCAGAACACTGTCAGTTTTTTAGAGAATTGAAATGTAATGAGGAAAATTTCAACTGAGGTGATTCATCTGATTTTTGACTGTAATTGTATTTATTATCAAGATGGGATACAGTAGGCCTGTTATGTTTTTTTGTTTCTCTATATACCTCTCAGGTCATTGCATCTGAAATCTGTGAGTTATGACACTAAGCCTAAAGATTCCTCTGATGGATCAACTGCCAGACATATATCATTTTCTGAGAAGACAATCCTAAAGGATTCTAATGTTAGCGTATCCAAACCAGAGATATCAAACTTTAGATCACAAGGATCTCCAAGACATTTAACTTCAGATCGCCGGTTATCAGAGAGGGAGATTAAATCAATTAAACAAAATAGTAGTCCAAGGAGATACTCAATGCAGGAGTTGGACCCATCTTTACCACTTTCATCCATCAAAGGGGTTAGAAGTCATACCAGTACCGAGAGGAGACAGTCGCAGTTGAGGGAACTCATGTTGCCAGCAAAGTTTGGGCGTAATGATCCAACCTACATGTCATCAGGGAGGTAAGGTGGTGGGGGGGTTTGAGGGGAAATCTTTGTGCTGTAACTTTATCCTCTTACTAAACCTACAGCAAGCCTACCCAATCACCACCAGAAGGACCCCACTGGAAATAAGTCTTCTTCAGACTTTTGTGGATTATCCTTGGTTTTTTGCACCGAAAAATCTATCCATCCATCTACTCATACTACTAATTAGCTATTATAAATGTGTAATAGAAATTTGAATGATAAGCTTTACACACTGTGTTACTTGCCATGGAAGTCACTTAAAAGCAGTAAAATAAGTGTCCTCTATTTCCCATTGGTGGTTAAGTTAATAAGAACAATGTTTTTCTTATACCCAGAAATACAGAATTTTATACACAATTTTCAAATAATTATTAATCACATCAAACATTAATAGTATTCTATTTTCATTCAGTATTCATAAAATATATCCATCATTCTAACACATGATTGCAAGATTACCTGCTAATCAAATGAATTTTGTCTATTTCCTTTTTCAGACGCATCAGTCTTCTTTTGTCTAGTCTTCCCAATTAAACTGTTTCCTACCTCAAATGTTTACCTCAATAATATCGATCAATCACATTGTTCTTCAGTATTAATCAAGATTCTGTAGATGATACATAGTATTTATTGCATTATCCAGCTTCTTGACATTTTACATCTCCCTGTTGTTATTAGGTGCTTTTCCATGTGCATATGTAGACCTGGTACTGCTGTTTTGATCACCACAAACTTTAGTTTTAACATAATAGATAATAAAGAATAACAAATCAAATCAAATAATTCTATTTAATTATATATAATATATATTTTTGGGGTTTTTAGTAATGGTATTTTCAATATCAAATGTGGTTATTGATGTATCACTTCTAAAAGTAAGTATTTCTTTTCAGCTCCTATGCAAGTCCCTAGTGCATGCTGCGTTGGTACCAATCATCTTCATCACCTCATCATTGCTTAGCATCATTCCTCAATGTCTGTTTGTCGCCTTCTACAATCTTCTGCATATTTCATAGCATCAATAGACATTTTCTAGTAGTTCAACACTCGGAAACTGGTACCATGGTGATATTATTCAGATGATGATGGATCATATAATTTAATATGATTTCTATATACCTCCATGGTTATTCAGTTTCCCTGCATGCAGAATTTAGTACTTTCATTGATTTGCTCTGGCAAAACTCTCTTTTTCAGCAGAGTAGATGAAACTTCTGCTTGTAGTTCTATTTCAAATACTGTGATCAATATATCAAAGATACCTGTGAGAATGTTGGATACGAGTAGCTTCTTGCAGCGACCAAACATCACAGCAGATGAGGCAGATTAGCAAGTGAATTAACAAGACTGGACAAGTGTTAGGATATTGAAACTTGAAAGGAAGAAACGGAGGAATAACAATCAACAACGGATTATAATCTGTATTTAAATTGCTTTTCGTGTCTATTACTGCCCACTTGCGGCAAGTAGACATTTTGCTATCATCTCCTATAAGTTGTAAGAGTAAATCTGGATGGAGGAATGATGGGTGCATCATAAGTTAAATAGAGATGAATAGTCTTCCAACAGTAAGCATATAAAATATAATGCCATCCCTAGATAAGACCTGTCCTAGAATAACTTAAAAGTCAACAATCTGTTACAAGTAGTAGATACACACTCCCGCTAGGAGCCTATTTTTGTTAATACTCTGTAGCATTCAATTGAAAATTAAAGCAAAAAACATTTTCCTCAACAATTAATGAATGTCAAAATAATTTTATTATGCTACACTTGGACCCTTCAATTTGCTGGCAAATGTGTGTGTGTGTGTGTATGTATGTATGTATGTATGTATTGTTTGTATGCCTTTTTCCAATTCCTTATGATTTAATCATTTTATATATTGTAATTGTTATATTTGAATTGATGTTGATATTTTATCCTGTTTTAATAAAATGTTCAAGGATATTTAAAAGCAAAGAAGCTGAGAAGAGTTGTTTTTTTGTTTCCGTCATAGTGCATTTTGG